TACAAAATAATTTCAAATGTTACAATCTTTATCAAAAAGTACCATGTCTGTTATTTCGATCTATTCTTCATTTCTATTACACTTTCATTAATTTAACACGAAGTTTAATAATTACCAAAGCAAGTTGATTACTTCAACATATTTGACTAACTACAAAAAACTAGAATTTACAGAACCATCCTGGAATGAAAATATAGAGAAAGATTCTCTCTATTATATTAATACATTTTAATCATAATAATTAGTTGTTTAAAAAGCTTAATGTGGAAACTATGCCAACAAACTCCTATTTTCCCTACATTTAGTTAAATTATTTAGTTACATTTCCGGTAAAAACTATAAAAAACGTAGTAAAACGAAGTGAGATGCATTAATTGTTGAAATAAGCTTCTTGAAAAAGAAATCCAGAAATAAAGCTATTGCTCGTCAAAGTATAAATTTATGACAGAAATTGAGAGAAGTTAATATAGTCAATTGTAAGGATGATAAATGCATCTCACTAATGTTTTGCCTTAGACAAAAATAAACTACAACAAATTTTCTTTGTAATTAAACATAATGGCACTTTAAAACTTACCAAGAAAGACGTCAACCAGCTGCAAATTGTAATTAGTTCTGGGTTGTATCACCATGCCACGTAATCGGCCTTCTTTGACCCGAACTTCCCTCGTTATTCTTTCCTGAAGGTCATGAAACCGCTGATGGTAGCCATATTGATCCCGTGATTCACGATGATCGCGGTGCTCCGTAAGAATTTGCGTGCAGGCCAACAATAGAAGGCCCACTAATTCTATTCGCAACATCTTGGACATCTGCCTCGCGTTCGTTGATTTCGCAACACAAAGTTCAATGCTTTAAGAATTTTCACCTTTATTAGGCTTGGCAAATTAATTATTAAATCTTAAGATTTTACGATAATAATTCAATATTCACGAAGCACTCTGTGCTTCAAATTAGTCACCAAATTTATTGTAATTCTTGGAAAAACTTAGCTGTAAATTATTTTCGCGAAAATAACACTGTGTGATATTTCAAAGTCTTACGGAAAAATTATTACAGAAATTGCAGAGAATATTATAGAGTGTAATCTTTAAAAAGCTCACAATGATAAGTTCGAAGCGACACGCGACAACTACGACGAAGCACACACACTCGCGATTGAAGTAAAAATAATTTTTCCGGCTGCCGACAGAACCGGATATAAAGAGAACGACTGCTCTTTCGGTCGTCGTTGGAACTTTTCACTTCGTAGCTTCCGCTGCTGCACGCGGATCGAGAAGTTACTTTTCTACACGTGCGGAGTTCACATTTTTGTAATTATTGATAAATTTTCAAATGCCACTTGATTTTATTCGAGTTAAAATTTATTGCAAGGTTCAACATAATGTATTTTCGAACTTTCAGCCATTCCCAATCGGTTGAGACTTATCCATCAAATAAATATGTGCTTCATATTTGACACAGCTAACATGTATTCTGCTCGCTGGATTTAAATCAAATTTTTTGTTATTGAGATTAACTCCAGATTTAAAACCAGATTTAAAATTTGTATTAGTTAAATAATTGCAATATTTCAATGAATATTTGATTAATCCTTTGGGGTCTAATGGCACACACACACACACACACGCGCGCGCAAACAAAACTTTTCTACAAAGCTTTCAGAATTTAACAAGGACTTTTTATAAAACAATTGTTTAAACTTTAACTTTTGAAAAATGTTATAACGAATACAATTATAGAATATAAAAAATTATTTATGTAGTAGAGAGTTCTTGGACTAATCATGTAAGGTTCGATATGATTGTGTATAGTATTATTTTCATATGGGATTATTCAAATATAATTAATAATACAAATTTCTGATACATAAATAACGTATAAATACGCGGAATTTTCAAGGCTTTCGTTTTTCAATGATAGGAATTAATTGATATTTTTTGTGCGTGTTTCGATTTTATTTTTATAGTTAACGATCCTTCAAACCTTTCAAAATAACTAGACATTATGTGTCCTATTATCAAATAAAACGGACTTTAAAAAAATAAATAAATCATAATTGTCTACATAATTCTTCTATTATTATATAAACTCGAAGGGATGAAGTTCAATGTATCCATATTCACGGGCTTACAAGCAATGGTATTTTCAATAATCTTATTTTAAACGTCTTGTGACTGTTTCAGTAGACGCACATTCCTTGGCTGTATTTAAGCGAAGGAATGGTACCGAGAGAAAACGAGCTCGTGCTGGCGATCGAAAGACATCGGGAGAGCGTGGAGTTTACCAACAGGCGGCGCGTTCTATTTGAGGCGAAGAGTACGTGCAGTCGCGCGAGCCGTCGCTCTCTCTCTCTCTCTCTCTCTCTCTCTCTCTCTCTCTCTCTCTCTCTCTTCGTACGTGCGTTCACCCTTGTTTGTCCCGCCAAGAATATCGCCTCTGGAGGACATCGCCGCACATTGCCGCGTTTAGACCTTTCAACTTGCAATGTTACCCGTCAAAAACTCCAACCGCAGCACGTCAAAATTGTTGAGCAAAAAGTTCACCGGAATCAATTTATACAAAATTATTCCCTCCCAAATTCTCCTTGACTCTACGTTTGCTCGTCGCGATACATATTTTGTAGAAATGTTTCTATTAGGAGTATTTCACGAAGTAAGGAAAAATTCTGCACGTAGAATGTCGCGATATCCTTACATGGGCGTGCAACGACGACATAAAAACTTCATAACCCAGCGGGTTACACATTTATATCGTGCGACAAGTCGCGTTCGCGCAAATTCGATCGCATGACGGGCGAAATGCTCATTTCCCAGTATCGCGATAATAGTTTGCTTGCAGTTTTGCGATATAAGCGAGCGTCTCGTAATTTACGTCGGATAAATGACATCGAGTTTGAAACTAATCTGGGAAAACGCATGAGGCAGAAAGAGAGAAAGACAGGGGAAGAAAGGGGGGGGAGAGAGAGAGAGAGAGAGAGAGAGAGAGAGAGAGAGAGAGACCAGCCAACTAAATCCGATATTTGTGACATTTACGGTGAGCAAACTTTTGAAGACTTGAACACACCACACGATTTTCAGACCATACCAGTTCTACCTGTCAAGCTATAAGTGTAGTTTGCGACACCAGTTTCCAAGTTTTTTGAATCCCTTTTAACGTAATATTTCCACTATAAATAACTAGACCTTTGAAGAACTGTTCCAAGTTGACATTTTAACAACATTTAAATAATGCTGCTATTAAATACCTACTTGGAGAAGATAAAAGAAATGATATAGCAAGAAAATATATAATGTTTGTGTGACTTAATTGGACACAATTGAAACAATCCTAAAATTTGGAAGAATTCTTAAGTAATAGGACACAAATTGTTTCTAATAATCTATCATTTTAATTCTATAATCGCATAGAAAATCTATTGAAAGAAGACAAAAATGTTGAGTGGCACATAATTCTGAGAACACAGGAGAACACTAAAGGAGAAGATATTATGAAAGTTTAGACATTTGCGAGAAGTTTCACACTTGTAAAAAGCCCTCAATGTTATTTTTAACGTTGACGATGACAACTGGAGCCTCCTCGACGAGCGAATCCGAATTGTACATTTTCGCATCGAAGAGCACTTCTCAAGGCGAGAACTCACAACAACTACCGTTATTGTCCGCTCGATATGTTGTTACTGCGCGCGTGAATGTTGCTTTTTAGTTTTCTATTTGTACTCCCGTCAAATAGAAAAACATTTGTTAGATAAATATTTTTCATCTTCGTAATATTTCCCTCTCTCTCAAAACAAATTTATTAATAATTTTAATATAGAGCGAAATTATACAATATTTTTACACGATATGTATCAAATGTATTATTTATTTAAACAACTTTTCATGTCATATTTCTCTGTTTAAACATTGTATTATTAATTGCATTAGTATATATTTTTAGGAAAGACCAGTTTATTTATATCCTGTAACAGTAAAGTTTGAAATAAAATATTTTTTTTGACAAATTTTTATATTTTCTGGCGTTGTTAAGGGATTAAGGATTGAACGAGCCAGCCTAAGCGATTATTGCAGCAAATCCTATTTTGCCGACCGCTTGTGGCGGATAAGCTTATAGGAATTCACCGCATCCATCATTAATACTTCTTTTTACTTTCGTCGATGTTTATGATAGATTTTCGAGAGGTGAGAAAATCTCTTTCGCCACGTTATCACGCTCCGTTATCATCCCACCATTGTATTTCTCGTTCGAAAAAAAATTCTATTTGACGAATTTTGTAAAAAGTTTTCCCTCGGTAAAAATGTAAAAAAAAAATCAAAAATTGCGACAAATTGTTACGGTGTTGCGTTGTACAATTTCTATTTTTAGAGATTCTCGAGTCGCAAAATGGTCCGAGACTACATTTTTTTACCCCTTTTCGCATGTCCAACAAAAGATTTCCAGCACAGCAACAATAAATTTCACTTCCTTTCACATATTGTTGATTCACACGTATCTCTTTTGGTAACAATAATAAATTTCATTTCAGTAATTACACTTCAAAAATATTGTTTCAATCATACCATCGAATATTGGAGAGTAAAAAACGTCACAGAGATTTAGGTTTAATATTGTCGATTGTTGGATAATCGAACACGCGCACTTGTGTTTTTTCTTTTGCGAAAGGACATGTCGAAAACTCGTTTTGTCACGACGAATCTTACGAGTGGACTGAACCGGCGTATATGCGAAAAGCGCTTCTAAAATTAAATCGCAGATGAATCTTCGAACGCGCGCGGAGCGCCGCCAAGGCGAAGCGAATTCTAAGCGGAAGCTTTCATTTTCGTCAACTCGTCCCCGTTGTTTGAAATCTGTTCGCATATGCACGTCAATGGCTGTCTGGAAAAGCATCGAGGGAGAAGGATACTTTTATTCCGGATGCTCGTTTGTCCATTGATCCGCAAGAATGCGAATCGCGAAAAGCACGAACTTTCGTCTTCATATCGAATGATATAACCTGAAAGATATAGATATTTCCAGAACAAGTTGTAAATAATCTCGATATTATATACGTTAATCTCTTGATGAATGTTTCATACGAAAAAAAAGAAACATTAAAACTGAAATTAAACACATAAGGTCAATCTGAAATCAAAAGATTTTAATTGATTTAATAAGATTTTTTTAACAAGTTTCTTATGTTTCTGAAATAAAAATTAATTTTATAAAAAGTTTATATTTTTTAATGTTACGTATTAAATGTTGAACTATTTTATTTAGATTTAGTGAAATTAATTCTTTTAATATTGGAATAGGAAAAAAAATCCTTTTGATTGGTAAAAAGATTTTTTTCCATCGATATCTTTGTTAAAAATGATCAAAATTTAAATTAAAAAAAAACGTTTTGAAGATTGAAATCTCTATTTTCGAATAGTTTCTATATTTTTCGAATTTATGTGAGTTTTTGTAATTTTTACATATAGAAAACGAGCTGAAAAAAAATAAAAAAACTTTTTTTCACTTTGTAGATCTGTAGCGTGCCGCAAAAAAAAATTTGAACAAATTTTCAACTTTCTATTGTAAAAGCTTTCCCCCAAAATCGTTTTTTTATGTTCCTAAGATTTTTTGTTCTTGAATTACTCGCGAATTAAGTAAAAAGGGAATATTCTGACTTTATTGCTTGTAACTCCATTAAAAATCATCGTATCACAATTAAAAATACAGATTCTTAAAGTTGAAACGTTGCTCTATCAAGCGATATAATTGGCAATTTAAAAAAAAAATAGAATGTATGGGTTGCCGGAAGTCTTTTTATCATCTTGTAAAAGAACTTTTTCCCTAATCCAATATATAAATAATTATTACTACAGTTGAAA